TATTTTTTTCGGGGTTATCTGTTTTTATGACTGTCTTCTAAACACGGTGCACCACCTAATGACAACGGTGGCGGAAGCGGGGGTGGGGGGAAGCGGTCATTGTCCCCTCCACCTTTTCTACTGGGAGCCTGGCCTCCCCACTTTGGTGACTGTTCCCAGCACCAGTGACAAATATTTTACGAACCCTGCAATTGTATTAGTATTATTATTTGCTTCTTGTGAATGGACCTATTATTATACAATACAGATTTTCTTTTTTCATTAATTTTCAAACGAACATTACAAGTTCCCTTTTTGAGTTGAGCAGCCAGATGTTGATTGACGTCTGTAAACGCTCGTCTGTAAAGTTTCCTTTCCTCGAGCATAAAGAAAAAAGAATGGAATCGCCCGCCTTGCGTGAATTCTGTACTTAGTCATAGGGCAGATTTTCGAAATTTTGGACCCGCCACATTTAAAGTACCCATTTCCGGGCTCATAGAATGGTACCGTAATTTTTATCCATCAAGGGAAAAGTGAAGCATTCGTCGGAGAATGCTCCTCATTATAAATAATTCATTGTGATCTTGGAAGCAATCTTGACGAAGTTATATTATAGTAGCTTAATGCCTATAAAGTAACTACAGTATTAAAATTTACTAAGCTTCGTCAAATATCCGTAGCTTCCATTGAGAAAATCCCCTTGGCCCCCACCTGGAACCTTGGCAGCCCCCTCTCCCCAGCCTAGATGCTTGCTTCACTCGCGTACTTGAACTTATGACATGCCGTCCCCCAAATTTTCAAAAACGTTCCGCCGCCGTTGCTCATCAACCGCTTTAGAATAATGAAGATCTAGGCCTTTACTAAAGACAATGTACAAAGGCATCGCCTTCTATAGAAACACCACACATCGCGACATTCTTATGGAAACTGAGAGACGAGCTTTGTTGTCCCGAGATGAGCCTCCTCTTGTTATTTTCCTTGTTTTTAAATATGCAATATTTTCAAATAATGATTCCATATAGTTTGGCTTCCAGGTCGGGGTTTCAATCCCTCGTTGTGCATTTCGTTTATGTCCTTGAACAAGGCGTTATCTGCATTGCTCTCTCCACCCAGGAGTATAAATGGGTACCTGGTGTAATTGCTTGCTCTTGTGCTGACTACCAGCAGCAACACTTAAAGCATGTGAACACAATGACCATGTAAAATAACTGCACGTTAAAACCTCAAGGAAAAGGCGTATTATAAAGTTGTTTTGCATGTACTGATTTCTATTTCATAATTTTAGTTAGTTATTGCCATTCCAAAACCAGCTTACTGTTGCTATGTTAATCTGAAAAAAAAATACCATAAGAATGTGGCAGAAAAGTACAGAGAATAATGTTTTTTTACTCATAACTTTGGCATTAGTAAGTCGATTACAGTAAATGACCCATCATTAAAAAGCTTACAATGCGAGAATAAATCCTGGGATGGCATGCCCCATTATTAGATAATTTTATATGTTCTTTAATAAGCTATCTTATAATTAATTAATTATAATTAAGTTATAATTGGAGACCTCGAGACCAATATTTGTACACTGAGTATACAAAATCAATCGTTTGTTCGTGGTCTAAAAAAAATCTATCAAATCATATTTAACATGGTTGGTGAAGTACTTGAAATGATACAACTTCATCAAACAAAGTACTATAAAAGCATTATCGTAAGACATCAAAATACAGTAGAACCCCTCCTTTGGGACACCCCTAGTATTAAGAGGACACTTCTCGGTGACATGAGGGGCAATATATTTTTTAACACTACGGCCAACCTCTATTAAGGGGACGGGGACACTTTCTAAGTGTGCCAACTTACTTTCTTTCCATTGTATCGCAACAGCTATTGCAGTATTTTAACACCTTTTGAGCAATAAACCAGAATGTTCTCCCCTGAATCCTTTGAGTAAACGTCGTTATAGGCCTACTGAATGTGTAACTTTATATAAGCCAATCTTGTCAATTTTGACCCGTAAACTTGGAGATTTAAATAAAATAAGGAATATTTGGTCATTAACACTGCGTCATGAAATAATATTGGGAACATTTTATTATTAGTACAGTATTTTATTATCTATATTATTTACCGTATACTGCGCCTTTTATTTGTAGATACAAAGCGCTTCTTTTTCCCTGGTCATTGAATCCTCATGTTTTAAGTGTTGCTGTTAGTAAACATTGCAGGAGTAGTCAATCCTACCAGGTACCCATTTATACTCCTGGGTGGAGAGAAGTGATGGTTTGATGAAATTGGGAGGGCATAACATGTACCATACAGATATGCATGGTCTACCTACCAGCCCGACAAGACATGTGATTACAGGAGAATCAATGCAGATATAATGCAAGAACACAGAGAAATGTACAGTACAGCAAGGGACTGAAACCCCGACCTCGAGGTTGGGAAACCATCCGTTTTCCCCTGCACCAAGCTGCTTCTACAACATATAAGACTGTTATTGTTTAAATTACATTTGTGCTGATTTCATATTATAAATGAATTGTTATTTGCATTGCAAGTTTTTGCTATAAATTAGTTCTAATTCTACTTAACTGATTCTTATGTCGATAAAGTTATACAGAATGTACGTCAACGTTGTATGAAAAAATGCCAAAAAACCGATATTAATAGAAGTTCTCTGTAGTAATTTATGAAATATGTGATTTCTTGTATCTGAATTTAATGTCTTAATGTGCAAAGAAAATAGTCTACAATTTTATCAATTTGTCACCTTTGGAAAAAAATGCATTCACCAATCACACTTGTACTACATTTTTCTAATCTTTTTTATCTTCTCGCTTCTTTTTTCGGTACTGATATTTTTTTTTAATGTCGTGGATCGGATACCTGTATTCTATACTTTTAATTATTTCATTTCGTCTGGTATACATCGGTGGCGTGCTTGCGCTGTACGGGTGCACTTCTCCTTTATATAAGATAAGATAATTGTACCACAATTAAGACAGATAAGATAAGATAATTGTACTAGATAAGATACCTACTTAGTGCGTAAATGGCTAGAAGAATTTTGATTTCAAAGAGGATTTTAATATTGTTTTGTTTCGTTGTATTACTTGAAGCAGGTAAGAGTGAAATTACGTAATTTCACCGTTCCCTTCTTCAAGTCTGTATTTGCTTCAGAATTGTAAGTAGATTAAATACGATAGTGTTCTTAAATATAGGCCTATTATTAAAGCATTTGTTTTTAGGCGTATCTGATGTATCGAATTGAATACTATGCAGGATAGATACCTTGTATGTTTAAATACTATGCCAGGGTAGATGCTGTTTACATTACATTATATTATGCATGACTGTAATCGTAAGATGCATACGCTTGGAATACGCTTAAATAACATTTGACTATTTGTGTTTACGCTTAGTGATCCATGTATTTCTTTTAGAATTGATGATGAAGATCGTTGGGATGTTTCAACAATTAAGTTGATTAGCCACGATGCGAAATTGTGTAGTGATTGATCCAGGTATTGCTTGTTCATCATTATTAATGCTATGACGTTAATCTTAATGATTAAAATTTCATATTTATAATTATGTGCTATTTAACCATATATGAAATGAGATTAATTCGTAAAAGACAAACAGTTTAAACCGTTTAATGGTCAATGTTTTGCCAGTGTAGTTTCACTGGGTTGTTTACTTATTGGCGTTTATAAAGTGAAGTGTTTTGCCAATATGCGTTTTTATGCCTTACTTAAACTTGCATTGTAGTTTCACTGAATTGTTCACTGATTGACGTTTACTAAAGTTATGCTTTGCCAATACAATATGCAATTATATTATGCAATTAAATACTGAGTGTCATGGTCGTACGATACATAATAATATTCTTGCATGTACATCTATATATCTTTGCAGGGCTGTTTCCTTTGCTAAGTTATGCGATCCCTAAATAAAGTTTGAAAGTTATCAAGTATTCGTTGTGCTGCATCATTTTGTCTATACCAATTTGGGGTTCAAGACTCGTACTCCTAGTGCGGGGTTGGACGACTCAATCCAAATCAATCTCAGTGCAATCCCCGAACCTAACAACTGGCGTCACGGACAGGAGAGCAAATTGGTGATAGCAGTGTTAATCGTCTACACTGTGTCTCGCAAAATGATTCGGAAGCAGTCTAGGATCGAGTTCTGAAGCAATACGAGGTTTTATATTATTGAATTATATTTTTTTCCCATGATTGAACTTATTGATATCGAAAATCTAAAATGTTATGTTATTGAAAGAGATACCTGCAATTTATACGTCCTTAAGTGTATAATTGATAGTTTCATTTTCATATAATGATGTTTTTAACTGTATGATTGATGCATTTCATATTATATCAGTTGTCCATGTCTGGTATATCTAATATCCAAATTATCAATAATCGAGTGAATTGATTGCTTAATAATTTGTGATGCATTTGTGTACCCGGTACATTCTATATGAGACGTTTACATGCTTTTGTGAATGCCCATGACATGCATTTAGATCAATGATATAATTGTAATATATATATATATAATATATATATATAGGCCTATATATGTATATATACATATATATATATATATATAT